GAAAAATGGTGAGCGTCAAATATAGATATTTTAGCATAAATTATACAACTCATATGTTCACAAAGAATGTCATGGTATAGAAATTTTTTCACTATAGTGTGAATTGTTGGAAATACATAGAGACTTCAAAGTGAATTTTTAAATATTAGGCAAAAAAAGGTTGTCAGATAAGTTCTTAACTCTCGGCAATTCCCATTTTAGTGAAAAGCCTTACTTTTTTTCACCTCTTTCATATATTTGTGAGCATTGACTAAACTGGAAGCTGCACATCTCTGCCATAGTTGAGCCTTAGGCTACACTTTCTTCCCTGGGAAAAAGACAAACCTTTGGAGACAATTGTATAATTTTTCAGCCTTAAAGGCAGCCAGGGAGGACTTTACTCTAAGAAAAATGTTAATACACTTTACATAGAGGAAGCAAATCAAGACACAAAGTTACATGTCTGAACATAAAAGTGAAATGGTATACCTAAGATGAAGATCTCAACCTACTCACATACAGGGTTATTTACTAACATGAATTGTGAGAATTCAAAGTGAAATTAACTTCCCATCTGCTACATTGCTATTTCTTTTATTACCTTTATAATACATATTGCGTGAAGTATTAGGAGGGACATGTCACATGCTCCCGTGCAAATGACCCTCACCCTCACTCACTAATTTAATGATTTTTTTGAGCAATGGAAAGTTTAATGAATTCAAGCAAATGGCAAGAATCATCTGATAATTAATTGCTGATTCATTCTTGATCTATCTTCAGTACCATAATTATTAATTGGGCTGATTTAATAAGTTCTGCTCAGAACTCATTCAGATAAATTGAAAGTCCGCTTGGAAACTTTTAGAGGTAAATCTAGTGAACTAATGAATCCTCCATATTTTGCTAATAATGCTTTGGTAAATAACCCAGACAAAGGCAGGCAGAGAGAGAGACAACAGGAGAGGTAGGACGACAGAGAGAAAGAGGTATTTCCGGTCATATACTGTAATTCTTTACAATTCTCCCCATTTAACATCATAACAGGTCCCAAAAAGAGAAATCATAAGAAGTTTACAAGGTGAGTAAAGTTGCAGTCGCCTTTCTCTGTGTGCCGTATTTCCCTATCTTCAATTGTTTTATTCTTGGGGTGTAAGTAACTGAACAAGACAGAAGGTGGGAGTGTTATTGTGACGGAACGCCATTACTGTGTACCATGCCCACATGTGCCCACCCACTTGTCCGGTCACATTGGACCCCCAAGGACTTGGACTGTGGACTCAGGGGGGGTCCAACAGACTTGTTGCAGGCCTCTCGTGGGTCTGGCCACAAGTCTGTATATTTCTATGGGGGAGAGATGTGATGGATGGCCTGATTTGTTTGGCGCAAGCCACAAGCTTGCAGCGCCATTTTTGTGATGGGTTTCGATGTGTCTAGCTGTCGCTGTGTTGTGCGCCTGTATTCTACATAGAGCAGTGTGCGTGTCTGTAAATGCAGCGGTAGGTCCACAAAGTGGGGCAGGGGGCAGCAGCTCTATAAACTATAAAGTATAGATTTAGTATACAGATTTAGTTTAAGGTTTTTGTGTTCTATTGCTAAGCCTTTAATGCCCTTATTCTGTCTTATATTGATGGCTAGTATTTCCATTGTAATAGTGTATAAGATTGGAGACAGCGGGCAACCCTGTCTGGTCCCGTTATGTAAGGTGAACCATTCAGAGCAAATATTTGGTCCAGTCGTTCTAGCTGAAGGACAAGAATAGAGTGACAGGATTGCCCGATGCATCCATCCCTGAATTCCAAACTTTAAAAGTGACCTGCTCAAAAACTCCCAAACGACCCTGTTAAAAGCCTTCTCAACATCCACTGCCATCAGTACCAAAGGGATTTGTTTCCCATTTGCACAAGCTAAAATATCCAATTGTGTCTGGTATTATCTGTGGAGGTACATCCTGGCACAAATCCAATTTCATCAATCTATTTCCTTCAATCTGTTAAGAAGGAGCCTTGTATAACAATTTGATTGAATGCTTCTGCTAAATGTACACTTAATAGCTCCTTGAAGGTCTTATGAAATAGGTTTGAATACCCATCTAGGCCAGGCGTTTTTTTACTCTTTAATTTAGAAATAGCTTCCTCCACCTCTTGTACTGTTATAGTTTGATTTATAATATGTTTTTGATTTACTGAAATTGATGGAATGGACATCTTATCTAACTAGGTATCAATATCAAGATTAGGCAGAGGCAGATCATATAGCTTCTGATAGTATGAATCAAAGCATTGGCCTATTGCTTTAGGGGTCAAGTGTATAACATTATCAGCTACTAATCTAGTGATGTTATTTGATGCAGTCCTGTCTCTCAATTTCTGCGTCATCAATTTATTAGCTCGGTTGCCCTTACTGTATGACTTCACTCTTAACCTCTCCATAATTTTAGCATTTCGTTCTAAATAATTTCTTTTTTGTTTCTGAATATTTTTTATGGATTCTAAGTTAGTTTTTGATGGAGAGTTCTAATTTCTTCTCTAGATGTTTTATTTAGATAAGAATATAAAGTCGACAGTTCAACTTTATTATTCTTTCTAAGATGTGAATTTAGACTGATCAAGTTACCTCTTAGGGTCGATTTGAAAGCACACCAATTGATAGCATATGAAGTATCTTGTGGCTTGTTTTCTTCTAATAGAAATTCTATTAGATTTTTTAGATATGTTAAATTCTTTGAATTGGACAAGAGAAAGTCATTGATACGCCACGTACTTCTGTTATTAATGCACCAATGATCTTTCATGGACCAGACAATAATGTTATGGTTCGACCATGTATTCTCTAATGTTCTAATAGATTCTATGTTTTCAAGAGAGACAGACAGATTTGCCCCAAACCATATCAATTCAAGAATAAGAATAAAAAACTCTAGAAAAATGAGTATATTCTCTTTCATCTGGGTGTAAAGATCTCCATATGTTGAAACAATCAAATTTATTCATACTATTAGTTACAGATTTAGCCGTCTTGATAAGTTTCCTATCAAGGGTTTGATGCTCAGGTAGTTTCTTATCTCTGCTAGGATCTAGCACACAGTTAAAATCTCCTGCAATTAAGCATAGTCCAGTGTTTAATGACTCAACTTGTTCCAATATTTTATTCAATGTTGTAGCCGGGGAATGATTTGGGAGGTATAAATTAACTAATATGTACATGATCTCATTCATTTTGCATATAACTATCAAATATCTTTCCCCTGGATCTATATATTGATTTATAATTTAAAATTTTACAGAGTGGGCAAAAACAATAGCAACGCCCCGTTTCTTTTTATCCTTTAAAGAAGCTTGTGTAATAATGGGGAACCGAGTGTCTCCCCATTTTATTTTTTCATAATTTCTCCAATGGGTTTCTTGAAGAAAGCCCACTTCTGCTTTTTCTTTAAACCGAAAATTGTATACCAATGATATTTTATTTGGTGAATTCAGACCCTTGGTATTAACTGATATAATTTTAACCATCTTTTAAATGAAACAACAACCTCCCCCCATACCGCCAAATGTCCTCCAGCAGTGTGTTTACAATAACAACAATCAAAATTAAACATATAAACATACATACTAGACCTAAATAGCATGTTTTACCTAACATACAAGAATGTTGAGGCCTCTTGTCCAAATTGACAAGAGCTCAACTTACGAGTAATGGATTGCATCAATCCTAACCCAGTTTTTGTGTCCAGAATTGGGGCACAAGGTAGGAGTAGAAGTACGCTGCATTTATCAGTCAACTTTTTAGGTCATCCCCTCATTAAACAGAATGTAGGTCATATGTGCTGATGCTAGAGATGTCACACACAATAGATATATCCAGAAATTTCAATAATAGTCATTATCTGTCAGCAATTACTTTGTTTGTATGCAAAGAACATGCTTCTCTTCCGTACATGGTAATTTTCTTTCATTTGCTTAGGAGATTAAAGATGACTAAATAAACCATCATTATTAATGCAGCGAACAAAAAAGTAAAATGAATGTAAAAATATATGGAGAGAAACATATAGTTAAATAGATATTAATCAAAAATAAATCAAATTATAGTAATACAAATGTAACCCACGTGTCTATAAAGAGCAGATTGTGAAGTTAGATATGTCGTTCGTTCCTGGGTACATTTTAGTCTGTTCTTGAATCCAATATAATATAAACCCATCATGGTCCCCCCCGTCCCACCACCACCTTTAATAGCATTTCGTAGATAATTGAAAACTGGTTTTGAGTTTGAAAGATGGTTAGTTTACTATTATTTTATGATTTAATCGTATTGCTGTTTTTGTCAGTATTGGAGTGCTACTTGCTTTGTGTATAGTTTTGCAATGAGCAGTGTGGATAACCCACTAAGCCAGGCATAGGAAACCTTCGGCACTCCAGATGTTTTGGACTTCACCTCCCATGATGCTTTGCCAGCATTATGCATGTAAGAGCATTATGGGAGATGTAGTCCACAACATCTGGAGTGCCGAAGGTTGTCTATCCCTGCACTAAGCCAATAGTTGGCTGCTTGTTTGAATTGGCACCCATAGCACTATTTTCATAGTTGTAATTTACATACAAAGCCTCATGTTTATTGAAAATATGCCAATTTCTGATGTCTGATTGCTTAAACATGGTAGTACTTTAAAATTTACGTTTAACTCAACCATTAAAAAAGGTTAAGACGCGCAGAAATAATCTGCGCCTCAGAGGGATACCAGAATCAATAATACCAGAAAACCTACAAACCTATGTTAAATGTCTCCTTCATGCATATGTCCCAGAGATACCAGCGGATATGTTACTCATGGATAGAGTGCATCGGCTTCCAAGGCCAAGATTCTTTCCTGAAACAGCTCCGCGAGATGTCTTGATGCGCATTCATTACTATCATATAAAAGAGCACATATTGCGAGTGAGCCGCAACAAAGTGAAACTGCCGGCAGACTTCCCAGAGATTAAAATATTTGTGGCTCTTTCGGCCTCCACCTTACGCAGGAGGAAAGACATCTCACAAATAGCCAACGCATTGCAGTCCAACGGCATCAGATTCCACTGGGGTTCCCAGCAAAAATGCTGTTAACAAAAGACGGATCCACACAAGTTATCACATCACCGGAGGACGGGATAAGAAAATTGCGGCTCTGGGGACTCACAGAAAAAGAACTGGAACCACAGGCTTCACCACCTCGTCATTTGCAGCTTGAATGGAGCAGAGCTACCCCCACGAAAAAAACTCACTAAAAGAATGCAAGTATAAAACAAAAGCAAGCATGTTGTAACTGCACACAGCATGACCTGATCTCCATGTAAAATACTTGCTAAAAGTTATTAATGTTAATCTGTTTTCTATCTTCCCATCATATGTTTTAAAGCAACCTGTTTATTAAGCACATACGGTTAAACTTTTCTATAGTGAGATACCATGTAAATTACCTGCTAAGGGTTGTCATAGTTAATCTATTTTCTACTCTTCCACCTAATGATTTAAAGCAACCTGCATATTAAGCAACTAATGGTTCAATTTTCCCATAGTAAGAGACCATGTAAACTACCTACTAAGGATTGTTACTGGTAACTGTTTTCTACTTTCCCTCCTAATGGGTTACAGCAACCTGCATATTAAGCAACATACAGTTCAATATCTCTATGGTATGAGACCATATAAATTAACTGCCTAGGATTATTACTGGTAACCTGCTTTCTACTTTTCCCACCTAATGGGTTAAAGCAGCCTGTATATTAAGCAACATAAGGTACAATCTCTCTATGGTAAGAGACAATGTACATTAACTGCTAAGAATTATTACTGCTAACCTGTTTTCTACTCCCCCACCTAATGATGTAAACAACCCGTACTTTAAGCAACATGTAGTTCACATTTCCAACAGTAAGATACCATGTAAATTACCTGCTAAGGGTTATTACTGCCAATTAATCTCCACTCTCCCATCTTATGACCCAAAGCAACCTGCATCTTACGCAACATAAAAATGCTAAGTGCAACTGTAGGAACAGTCAAGTAACTAATACACCATACCTCCCCAGGAAAGGGGATAGCCACCAAAGAGCTGAAGTACTGGCTCAATTAAAAAAAAAAAAGAAAATGTTGCGTTATATAGTTGATAAATATGAGTCAATAGATGTCGTCTGTGTGACGCGCCAGGGCAATTAGACCATTGGAGGGAGATTATTGGGCTATTTGGACAGTCAGGCATCCTATAGCACTAGCGCAGTGTCGACTGAACAACACATTACTGACTGATGCAGACTTTAAAACTAAATTAGAAACAGACATAAATGACTATTTCCAGACAAATCAAAATCCGGAGCTCCTACCCACCACACTATGGCAAGCCCACAAGGCAGTTACTAGAGGACTACTCATAAGTAGAGCAGCGTATATTAAACGGAGCACACAAAAGAAATATCTACAATTATTGACAGAGCTTTGAGATCTCAATAACGAACAATTAATAAAACCCAAAGACGAAAGACTAATAGAAATAGCACATACCACTAAACAAATCAATGACCTGCTGCTCCACAAAACAGCCCAGAACATCCACAAACTCAAATTACGGCATTACACACAGGGTAACAGAGCTAGCAAAGTACTAGCGTCAATGCTGAGGCAGAAACAAGCAAAATAAAAAATCCCATCCATACTCAATAACGCAGGAGGGAAAATATACGACCCCCGAGACATTAACACAATGATTGCTAACTACTACAAAAGTCTTTATAACCTGCGGGACGATACACAGACACACCAACCCAATCACACTGAAATACAAAACTTCTTCGCCAACATAAGACTACCGACTCTCACGCAATTGCATAAAGAAAGTCTACAAAAAACAATCACACTACAAGAACTGATGCAGACAATACGCTCACTACCATCAGGGAAATCACCGGGCCCAGATGGTTTCACCAACGAATATTAGAAAACATTGCACAACACTCTAGCCCCGCACCTAGTCAAAGCACTAAATAACATAGTACAATCGGGAAACATGTCACCAGAGATGTTACTCGCACACATAACTGTTGTGGACAAAAATATTAACCCAATTCATATTAATAAAATGCCTGTTTACTCAGCATAACCACAATCAGCATTATTCAACCTTATATGTGATTTACCTAAAATGGCCTCTAGGGAGTTTCCCTTTGACATCGACTAACACCCTCATTAACAAGATGGCGCTGGGATCTGGGGGAGACCTCCAAGATACCAGTGACATCACACCCGGTAGGAAGGGCTCTAAATGAACCACTTAACACCTCTTGCCAAAATCTGCTTTCACACATGATCGCCAACAGTACACTTGGACTGTCATGCCTCAAGGTGCATAAAATTCCCCTTCTGAATTCGCCAAAGCTATGTCAACTGTCTTAGAACCTAGGCAGAAGTCTCACCCTGACATGGTCCTGCTCCAGTATGTGGATGATCTACTCCTCTGTGCGGATGATCTTCCAACTGCTAAACAAAATTCTGAAGATCTCCTTTGTTTCCTCGCTGAAGAAGGATGTAAAGCCTCCAGAACGAAACTTCAGTGGTGCCGGCCCTCTGTGGTCTTCTTGGGACATTGCCTTTCCGATGGCACCCGTCACCTAACAAAGAACAGAGTACTTGCTATTACCAATCTCTCTCTCCTGTCTACTCACCAAGCCTTCTTGGGCCTCATCACATACTGCAGGTCTTAGATTCCTGAGGCTTCTCAGCTAATGCAACCTCTCTATGATGCCTTGCAGACTGAACCATTTTCATTGTCTTTAACAGCTCGCTCCTGCTACTATGCCCTTCAAAAGGCCACCTCCTCTGCCCCAGCTTTAGGCCTACCTAACTTTCCGCAACCATTCAAATTTTTTGTCTCTGAAAAGATGGGCCATGCTTCAGGAGTCCTTACACAATCACATAGTTCCTGTCAACGCCCTGTTGGACCCCGTGGCTCGAGGCGGTCCTTCTTGTTTACGTGCTGGGTTTGCTGCCAGTGCCCTGCTGGACAAAACTAATGACTTTGTTCTTGGACATAAACTCACTGTCCTTGCTCCCCATGACATCACGGCCATCCTGAATCAAGTCCAACTGAAACATCTCTCCTCCCAGAGACACCTCTGCCTTCAAACCTCCCTCCTCTTGCCTGATAACGTCACTCTACAAAGATGTTACTCTTTGAACCCGGCCACTCTTCTGCCACTTCCCAAGGGGGGAGTACCACAATACTGGTACAGTCTAGACACAAATCCTGATGTTCATATGGACCTTCAAGTGAAAAAGCCCTAGGTTCCACATGATGAACAACCCGAGGGCTATCTACATTGTACCCTGTGGTTCAGGAATACCCCAGGTCCTGACCCATACTATGAAGAATAATTATTTAGCCTGGTGGAAATATGCATCACCCTGACAGACCTGTTCTGTGACTTCAGAGGAAATACTCTTATCTTGGTCTACCTGCCCATGGAGGTATCACATTTAGACCACCACTGGGAGGTGGCAGTTCCTCATATCTCTTTCACCAAATCTCCGAATCTCTCATGGAAAGAACTCAGCCCATGGCCAAACATTGAATTCCGCAACTCAATAACAGCTCACATTAACGGGGGTCACTAAAAGGACCATAAATTGCAAAACAGTCGGTTACCCTCGATATCACACAGAGATATGTGAAGACATCCCTCCTACAGAACAGGACCTGGATGCCCCTCATGACTGTTTTGAACAGATGAAAATGGAGACAACCCATCTCCCAACGGTGCACGAGGCTGCTCTGCCGGATCCTGACTTCACCCTGTTTGTGGATGGTTCTAGATTTGACGACGTACACTGACAACATTATACCGGATATGCTGTCACCACAGAAGACCGAGTACTCCAAGCATCTTCACTTCCATCATCTAAGTCACACAAGAAGCCGAACTAATAGCCCTTACAACAGCATGTAAGATGGGAAGCCTGTTAATATATATACAGACGCAAGGTATGCCCTGGGTGTAGTGCATGATTTTGGCTTAATCTGGAAAACAAGGGGGTTTCTTACAGCAGCAAGTACACCGATGAAACATGGCGCAGCTATCAACGAATTAATGGATGCCTTACTGCTCCCTGAAGAGGTGGCCATATTGAAGGTAAAGAAGATTGAATTCAGAAGAAGCATGTTGCAATTACTTAGCTGATCAGGCTGCTAAAGATGCGGCACGCCAGTGTCGGGAAGTGGACAGAAGTGCCCGTTGAACAGACTCCTATTTACACTATGCACACCCTACCTACCGATCTCAAGCTCCTGAGAGAACAACAGGCCGCTGCCACCCCTCAGGAAAAACAAATTTGGAAAGATAAAGGGGCAACCCTCCAGAATGAAGTGTACGCAATCAACCTCAAATTCTGTTTACCCAAGAATATGTACTCAGCTGTTGTTCAGTGGGCCTATGGACCAGCCCATTTACCCAAGCACCTCATGAACTCCCTGATTGATAAATATTTTGAGGCACCCGGAATCACTACTTTGACAAGAAATTACTGCAGATCCTGTACTATCTGCGCCAGATGTAATCCGGGAAAAATAATTAAAGCTGCACCTAACCATTTGGCCAAGCCACAGTACCCTTTCCAAAGGATCCAAATTGATCATATCCAAATGACAAAAAGTGGCCGGTATGAATATGCACTGGTCATAGTGGATATGTTTTTAGGATGGCCAGAAGCTTTTCCTGTCACTAATTTCACTGCTAAGACCACAGCAAAGCGCCTACTTACTGAAATCATCTGCAGATATGGAGTTCCTGAGGTGATTGAAAGTGACCAGGGAACATCCTTCACCGCGTTGCTAGCCAAGGAAATCTGGGCAGCACTGGGGGTGACCCTTGCATTCCACACACCCCATCACCCACAGAGTAGTGGTAAGGTAGAATGCATGAATGGCACCTTGAAAGCCAGAATGCTTAAGATGGCCCAAGAAACTAACCTACCCTGGCCGGAAAGTCTTCCCATAGCACTATTTAGTGTAAGGTACACTCCAAGAGGGAGATTTAGCTTATCCCCCTACGAGATTTTATTTGGTACAGCACCCAGGTTAGGCTGTTATTTTCCTCAGCAACTTCAAATTCAGTCAGATGCAATGGTAGATTATATAACTGCACTCTCTCATGCCTTGACCAAAATCCATGCACAGGTGTTTTCTTCTATTCCAGATCCAGAATCAAACACAGGTACACATAAACTCCTTCCTGGTGAC